TAAACTGGGCTAAGACCCATGATAGCAGCAAACCTAAGAGCAATGGCAGAATTACTAACAGACAAAGAAAAGCATGAAGATAAGGGAAGGAGAGAAGTAAAAAAAGAAGGGTGAAAAAAGAAAATACCAAGAGATCTTAAAAAGGAAACCTATGAGCTTTGATATGGGGAAGGAGGAATGCAACTTCCTTTTCAGTTGTTAGGTTCTCTTTTTTTTTTTTTTATTTTATTTCTTTTCTCTCTCAGAATTTTCCATAGTGCCAGGGCTGATTTCCTAGGCTAAGAAACAGAACATATGTTCAGAGCTCACAGGAATTCTCAGGTTATCGCTAGTGCTTCCAGTGTTCAGCACAGCTGCCTTTGACAGACAGAGGGTGAATGAGCAGGTGAGAAAGGCTCAGTAACTTATTGGTGTCTGCCTCTGAAGCCAGGGACCAAAAGGCCCACCTTTGACATAGTAAAACTAAGGACTGGGATCAGTGATCATACTCCGATTAAATGGCATCAGAAATCACCTACGCTGAGGTGAAGTTCAAGAATGCATCACCAGCTGCACTGGTTGAAGGTAAGGAATGAGTGGGTTATTCAGGGGAAGGAGACCTGGAGGGAGAGGGTTTGAAGAACAGGGAATGGAGACTTTTCCTTCTGTGACTCTGGTTCCTACCTGGTCTTGACAAATTGTTGAGAAAAAGGAGCTGTCTACCACTACATGAGTAGAAGACTTGGAGGAGTTTTGAAGTAAGAGGGTCAAGGAATGTCTGCCAGAGGAGGGGTGGGAATCTTTAGGTGGTTGGAGTTGCAACATGAACAAAGATTACTACTGGGAGCACAAACAGTAAGTTTCAAGCGAGCATTCAGTAAGGAATTCATTTGGGCTCCCTTAGTACCCTGGTTGCAACAGTGTGAATGGTAGAGGGTCCAGGATGAGTGCTTAGCCCTGGTGTGATGCAGGTAGTAGCTGCCTCCTCTCTATATGCTATCTAGTGTTGGATGAGAGAGTCAGTTTTGGAGAAATACTGAGTACCATTAATAGAGACTATGGTTTATTACAAACAATCTGATCTGTCAGACAGGTGGATGGGGTCTCAGGGCAGAAAATAGCAGCAAGTAAGTCCAAGCTCTGGCTGCTACTGCTCTTGCCTCTCAGAGTGAGGCTACAGATTCCTGCTTATGGAGAGAGCAGGAATAGAGAACCAACGTGCCTCCTTACAGTAGAGCAGTCAGTTGCCCTCTGCAGCTTTGTGAAAGTTTGGCACTGGCTGCAGAAACTTATAGCCCTATTGTTCTTGATTGCTTGAGAAATGGTCCTTGGAGAAGAGAGACCCAGAAGTTAAAAGGAAGAATGGGCTTGAACAAAACGCCTTAAAATACACAGAGGAAGAATTATCTAAGATCTGGAGAAAGATCTAATTCTGTGATTAATGTATATCACTCACAAAAAATAATTAATACACCAATCAAATTTTTATTTCTTTTAGAAATCATGGTTGTAAAGTTGTGCCTTTACTAGGCTTTGTGCAAATTTAAGACATGGTCTGGTCAGTATGTATTCTGTAGTTATTGTGCCCCAAGTAGGAACATGTAGAAATGTTCCATGTTCCAGAAATGTTCCAGAAGCTCACTGTTTCCACCCTTAGATATAGGAACCTGCACAGTAGTGGTTTCCAGAGGGGTGAAAGCATGTGTGCATGAATGAACGAATGAAGAAATCAATTATTGTTGCTGCTAAGGATATTAACTTGCCTATTTTCCACTTTACCTCAGTTTTACAATCCCAAACAGAGCAGGCATCAGCTCCAGGTTATTCCTTGCCTGCTCTGAGTCATGGAAATAAAGAATGTACGCACTCCTGACTGACTTGAAAGATCACTGTTTTTGATACACAAGGATTAGGTGGTTCTGGTTACAGCTAGCATTTCCATCAGAGTGAGGTGGGGGTGGTGGAAGTTCCCCATTGTATTCCCAATGACCTATGCCAAAGACACCTGATCCAGCCATGTTTGCTTGAGCTGCTGATGCTAGGCTCATGCTATAGGTTTGGGTGTGTGCTCAGGGTCTCTCTGTGAGTTTGCCTGTCCAAGTGATCACATATTTAGCTTATACTTTGAATTCAGAGAAGTAGTAGTACCATTGCACGCAGTGCTAATGTCTCTTACAGCCTCATGGTATGTTCATAGGACAAGAGTTATGATTGAAAATTATTGAAAAATTGAGGGAGTCTTGCTGTTGTTCTGAGTGGTTACTCTGGCTATGCAGACCCTGGGTTGGTAATGGCCAAGCTCACCTGGGTTTCCCCATTCTGTAGCCTCTTCTAGCTGGGCTCTAGAGATAACAAAATTGGCAGTCATTGGAAGATAGAGAGGAAAAGGGAGCAGCTAATCAAACAATTTATAATCTGTGGCAGGAGGTGGCAGAGACTGCCAGGGTGGGTTTCACACCCCAGTACAGTTAGGGTTCCTGCATTTCCAACCAGGATTTCCCAGATAGAAACATAAGCATCTGTGCTCTACCACACTTATTGCATGTGCCTAGGAGGTGTTGGATTTACCTGCTAAATAACTAGCATATGCTTATCAGGTCTGTTGTGTTGTGATCATGCTGGACATGTTTCAAGCATGCAGACTAACTGTAGGAAATATTTTGCAGGGAGATTAACCCACTGAGTGTGCAAAAGATTGACTGCACTTAAGTTGTGTTGGCGAGACACATGCATACTGGCAGTGCTCTAGGTGCCACCTGGGTGTGAGTGGGGGATGCAGAGGTCTGACTGAGCACAGGTGGACATGCAGCACATCAAAAAAATCATTTGGACTCATCAGATCTATTGTCTAAAATAGGTGGCTGGATTCCAGATCATGATCTGGGTCCTTGTTTTCACTATAGGCAAAAGCTCTAGCTAGAAAAACATGATTTAGCCAGGGAAATCTGTGTCTTGTCTATGTTTTATCATCTTTCATTATCAGAAGAGACTTTTTCACTGCTGTTACAGTCTCCCCCAAGCCTTTGGGAAGTAGTCAGAGGGCTTCCCCAAACAGCAGGTTTCTGGAAGTCATGCTTACTAAACATGGCTGCTGGCAGACTTGGGAATGCTGAACAATGAATGAGGTCTCTCTAAAGCTTCTAACTGATGTCAGTCTCTCACAAAACTTCTTTACTCCTGTCCTGCAGTGAGTGCTGCTGTTTCTTTACCCTCCTGTTTGCCCTGGCTTTTGCATCTGCTACAACTTAGAACAGTCTCCTAACAGGTGTTTGCTTCTCCTTCCCTGTGACCCATTCTCCTGCCTGCTCCCAAACTGCCTATGGACAAAAATCTGGCTCTGGCAAGTCTGCACCTGAGTGGGATACTTTACTCAAGCTGCTGAACACGGCCCTTTGTTCTCCCCAGGCATCCAGCCTAGCACAACCTAGTTTTACTACAGCAGATCTCTGAACCCTGGCTTGGAAAGCAGAGATGGAAAGGAAATTTTTTTTTTAATATTCCAATGATTCGGTGCCATCATAGCATGGCACGTTTTTTGTCTCCTGTCCTCATTTGGTTTACACCAACCTTCTACACAGAAAGTCCAAAAAACTAAGAAGGAACTGAAGCAGGCATAAAAAGTTTTCTGGGGAGGAGTCAACATGAAATCTTCATATGAATGTTTCAAGTATCATGGAGCAATGTTGTATTTGGCAGCTATGGGATTATTCTAGAAAGACATGGTTTCACTCCAGATTTTGAGGCCGTGTGAAGGCCTCACCCCCAAACACCACAATTAGCATTGGTAGCTCACCAGCCAGGCTGGGGCTGTGAACACTTGTTGCTGAACTGACCTTCTCTAGAAGCAACAGAGGTCCCCTGCTCTGTCCCAACCTGCCCCTCTCCAAAACTGTGTAACTTCCACATCAGAACTGAAATTGCATTATTTTGGAGCAGCTCTCCTTTGAGTTGTATATCCTTGCTATGTGGACTGACTTAAGCATAGTTGACTGTGGTGTTGTGTTTGGTGCATTCCTTCACTTTAGTACCTCCTGAGATGAAGAAGCATGAGCACGATTCCCAGAAATACCCCCCATGGCTCCCATGGCTGATCTCACTGCTGTTCTTCTTGGTGTGCATTGCCCTTGTTACTGCTCTCCTTGGTGAGTATGTGCAGGTTGGTTACAGGAAAGAGGTTTGGGGGAAGTGCTGGGAGAAAAGTAGAGAAATCATATCCCAGAGGGGAATATCTTCCAAACAGGAGGGAGCTTTTACTCAGGAACAGTTTTGTCATGAGAAAGGATGCAAGCATGAACATCTGGGCTCAGAAAACCTGAACTTTGAATATTTGAAAGGACTGCTTGATGAGATTTACGGGGTGTATGCAGACACATACAATTTCAGGGCAGAAAAGCCTGAGACCTTTACAGGAACAGTTCCTTGTTTGAGATTTGTTCTAGTGCTAGCTGTCAACTGGGGCTGACCTCCCAGGATGAAGGCACAGCATGCAATATCTGATGTCACAAATGCAGCTTAACCACAAGAGACAAGTGAGGGAAGAATGCATTTTGTATTGGGCTGTGCTGCAGGTTAAACTGGGCTAAGACCCATGATAGCAGCAAACCTAAGAGCAATGGCAGAATTACTAACAGACAAAGAACTTCAGCAGAACAATTTGGGGTTTGTTTAATGATGGGCATCAAGATGCGTGACTAGAACAGATCGGCAGCCCCCGAAACAGTGCATGGGAGGTTACTGAGCATAATCTCCAGTAACATCTAATTTCTCAGAATTTTCCATAGTGCCAGGGCTGATTTCCTAGGCTAAGAAACAGAACATATGTTCAGAGCTCACAGGAATTCTCAGGTTATCGCTAGTGCTTCCAGTGTTCAGCACAGCTGCCTTTGACAGACAGAGGGTGAATGAGCAGGTGAGAAAGGCTCAGTAACTTATTGGTGTCTGCCTCTGAAGCCAGGGACCAAAAGGCCCACCTTTGACATAGTAAAACTAAGGACTGGGATCAGTGATCATACTCCGATTAAATGGCATCAGAAATCACCTACGCTGAGGTGAAGTTCAAGAATGCATCACCAGCTGCACTGGTTGAAGGTAAGGAATGAGTGGGTTATTCAGGGGAAGGAGACCTGGAGGGAGAGGGTTTGAAGAACAGGGAATGGAGACTTTTCCTTCTGTGACTCTGGTTCCTACCTGGTCTTGACAAATTGTTGAGAAAAAGGAGCTGTCTACCACTACATGAGTAGAAGACTTGGAGGAGTTTTGAAGTAAGAGGGTCAAGGAATGTCTGCCAGAGGAGGGGTGGGAATCTTTAGGTGGTTGGAGTTGCAACATGAACAAAGATTACTACTGGGAGCACAAACAGTAAGTTTCAAGCGAGCATTCAGTAAGGAATTCATTTGGGCTCCCTTAGTACCCTGGTTGCAACAGTGTGAATGGTAGAGGGTCCAGGATGAGTGCTTAGCCCTGGTGTGATGCAGGTAGTAGCTGCCTCCTCTCTATATGCTATCTAGTGTTGGATGAGAGAGTCAGTTTTGGAGAAATACTGAGTACCATTAATAGAGACTATGGTTTATTACAAACAATCTGATCTGTCAGACAGGTGGATGGGGTCTCAGGGCAGAAAATAGCAGCAAGTAAGTCCAAGCTCTGGCTGCTACTGCTCTTGCCTCTCAGAGTGAGGCTACAGATTCCTGCTTATGGAGAGAGCAGGAATAGAGAACCAACGTGCCTCCTTACAGTAGAGCAGTCAGTTGCCCTCTGCAGCTTTGTGAAAGTTTGGCACTGGCTGCAGAAACTTATAGCCCTATTGTTCTTGATTGCTTGAGAAATGGTCCTTGGAGAAGAGAGACCCAGAAGTTAAAAGGAAGAATGGGCTTGAACAAAACGCCTTAAAATACACAGAGGAAGAATTATCTAAGATCTGGAGAAAGATCTAATTCTGTGATTAATGTATATCACTCACAAAAAATAATTAATACACCAATCAAATTTTTATTTCTTTTAGAAATCATGGTTGTAAAGTTGTGCCTTTACTAGGCTTTGTGCAAATTTAAGACATGGTCTGGTCAGTATGTATTCTGTAGTTATTGTGCCCCAAGTAGGAACATGTAGAAATGTTCCATGTTCCAGAAATGTTCCAGAAGCTCACTGTTTCCACCCTTAGATATAGGAACCTGCACAGTAGTGGTTTCCAGAGGGGTGAAAGCATGTGTGCATGAATGAACGAATGAAGAAATCAATTATTGTTGCTGCTAAGGATATTAACTTGCCTATTTTCCACTTTACCTCAGTTTTACAATCCCAAACAGAGCAGGCATCAGCTCCAGGTTATTCCTTGCCTGCTCTGAGTCATGGAAATAAAGAATGTACGCACTCCTGACTGACTTGAAAGATCACTGTTTTTGATACACAAGGATTAGGTGGTTCTGGTTACAGCTAGCATTTCCATCAGAGTGAGGTGGGGGTGGTGGAAGTTCCCCATTGTATTCCCAATGACCTATGCCAAAGACACCTGATCCAGCCATGTTTGCTTGAGCTGCTGATGCTAGGCTCATGCTATAGGTTTGGGTGTGTGCTCAGGGTCTCTCTGTGAGTTTGCCTGTCCAAGTGATCACATATTTAGCTTATACTTTGAATTCAGAGAAGTAGTAGTACCATTGCACGCAGTGCTAATGTCTCTTACAGCCTCATGGTATGTTCATAGGACAAGAGTTATGATTGAAAATTATTGAAAAATTGAGGGAGTCTTGCTGTTGTTCTGAGTGGTTACTCTGGCTATGCAGACCCTGGGTTGGTAATGGCCAAGCTCACCTGGGTTTCCCCATTCTGTAGCCTCTTCTAGCTGGGCTCTAGAGATAACAAAATTGGCAGTCATTGGAAGATAGAGAGGAAAAGGGAGCAGCTAATCAAACAATTTATAATCTGTGGCAGGAGGTGGCAGAGACTGCCAGGGTGGGTTTCACACCCCAGTACAGTTAGGGTTCCTGCATTTCCAACCAGGATTTCCCAGATAGAAACATAAGCATCTGTGCTCTACCACACTTATTGCATGTGCCTAGGAGGTGTTGGATTTACCTGCTAAATAACTAGCATATGCTTATCAGGTCTGTTGTGTTGTGATCATGCTGGACATGTTTCAAGCATGCAGACTAACTGTAGGAAATATTTTGCAGGGAGATTAACCCACTGAGTGTGCAAAAGATTGACTGCACTTAAGTTGTGTTGGCGAGACACATGCATACTGGCAGTGCTCTAGGTGCCACCTGGGTGTGAGTGGGGGATGCAGAGGTCTGACTGAGCACAGGTGGACATGCAGCACATCAAAAAAATCATTTGGACTCATCAGATCTATTGTCTAAAATAGGTGGCTGGATTCCAGATCATGATCTGGGTCCTTGTTTTCACTATAGGCAAAAGCTCTAGCTAGAAAAACATGATTTAGCCAGGGAAATCTGTGTCTTGTCTATGTTTTATCATCTTTCATTATCAGAAGAGACTTTTTCACTGCTGTTACAGTCTCCCCCAAGCCTTTGGGAAGTAGTCAGAGGGCTTCCCCAAACAGCAGGTTTCTGGAAGTCATGCTTACTAAACATGGCTGCTGGCAGACTTGGGAATGCTGAACAATGAATGAGGTCTCTCTAAAGCTTCTAACTGATGTCAGTCTCTCACAAAACTTCTTTACTCCTGTCCTGCAGTGAGTGCTGCTGTTTCTTTACCCTCCTGTTTGCCCTGGCTTTTGCATCTGCTACAACTTAGAACAGTCTCCTAACAGGTGTTTGCTTCTCCTTCCCTGTGACCCATTCTCCTGCCTGCTCCCAAACTGCCTATGGACAAAAATCTGGCTCTGGCAAGTCTGCACCTGAGTGGGATACTTTACTCAAGCTGCTGAACACGGCCCTTTGTTCTCCCCAGGCATCCAGCCTAGCACAACCTAGTTTTACTACAGCAGATCTCTGAACCCTGGCTTGGAAAGCAGAGATGGAAAGGAAATTTTTTTTTTAATATTCCAATGATTCGGTGCCATCATAGCATGGCACGTTTTTTGTCTCCTGTCCTCATTTGGTTTACACCAACCTTCTACACAGAAAGTCCAAAAAACTAAGAAGGAACTGAAGCAGGCATAAAAAGTTTTCTGGGGAGGAGTCAACATGAAATCTTCATATGAATGTTTCAAGTATCATGGAGCAATGTTGTATTTGGCAGCTATGGGATTATTCTAGAAAGACATGGTTTCACTCCAGATTTTGAGGCCGTGTGAAGGCCTCACCCCCAAACACCACAATTAGCATTGGTAGCTCACCAGCCAGGCTGGGGCTGTGAACACTTGTTGCTGAACTGACCTTCTCTAGAAGCAACAGAGGTCCCCTGCTCTGTCCCAACCTGCCCCTCTCCAAAACTGTGTAACTTCCACATCAGAACTGAAATTGCATTATTTTGGAGCAGCTCTCCTTTGAGTTGTATATCCTTGCTATGTGGACTGACTTAAGCATAGTTGACTGTGGTGTTGTGTTTGGTGCATTCCTTCACTTTAGTACCTCCTGAGATGAAGAAGCATGAGCACGATTCCCAGAAATACCCCCCATGGCTCCCATGGCTGATCTCACTGCTGTTCTTCTTGGTGTGCATTGCCCTTGTTACTGCTCTCCTTGGTGAGTATGTGCAGGTTGGTTACAGGAAAGAGGTTTGGGGGAAGTGCTGGGAGAAAAGTAGAGAAATCATATCCCAGAGGGGAATATCTTCCAAACAGGAGGGAGCTTTTACTCAGGAACAGTTTTGTCATGAGAAAGGATGCAAGCATGAACATCTGGGCTCAGAAAACCTGAACTTTGAATATTTGAAAGGACTGCTTGATGAGATTTACGGGGTGTATGCAGACACATACAATTTCAGGGCAGAAAAGCCTGAGACCTTACAGAAAGCCCAAACAACCCTGAAATTCTGAAGATGACCATGCTTCAAGTAGGGCATTAGACTAGAGACCTCCAGAAGCCCCTTCCCACCTAAGTCTTTCTGTCATTCTGTGAAAGAGCATGGGTATAACAGAACCATCTGACATAATGCTGAGGTAGTCCTAGCTTCTGCATACCAGTTGGCCAAAACACCTGGTTTGGCTGGCCTGCAAAGGAGAAGTTTGTGTCATGTTGCAACTGTACCATTAAACCCCCAATGTTTAAGCAGTCCTTTCAAATACTCAACATTCAGGTTTTCTGATGCGTGACTAGAACAGATCAGCAGCCCCCGAAACAGTGCATGGGAGTTTACTGAGCATAATCTCCAGTAACATCTAATTTTTCTGTTCTTGTTGGGGCAGGAGACAAACTGTAGGGAAGGTCACTATCCTGCACAGAGACCTGAAAACAGCTGAGCTGTTGTCTCTGGACAACAGGGATCCTTGCAGTCACCACCTCTCTCATAGTTAGCATTAATCTCTGTGGTTTCTCCCCGCATAGAGCGAGGCTGGACATGCTAGGACCTGAAAACAGCTGAGCTATTGTCTCTGGACAACAGGAATCCTTGCAGTCACCATTTCTCTCATAATTAGCATCAATCTCTATGGTCTCTCCCCGCATAGAGCGAGGCTGGACATGCTACCTGAAGGGCTGAAGATGCTTTCAAAAAAGCTCCCATTATCCCTCAGATGATGAGGTGTCCTCGGTTGAGGGTAGCAATTGCTATGCACAGTTGAATCGCAATACAAACGTGGTTCTCATTACCAGTCTCTGCGATATGCTCAACATCAAGACACTGGCTGTCCCCAGTGACCAAGAAGGAATATGTGTGTTGAAGCCAGCCCAGGCCATTGCTTTCTTCAGAGATGTTTTTGTTAGTCATTCAGTTTTTTACACTGTTTTGGCCTGAGCCACGTACACACTTGCCCCATGCTGGTCTGACTAACTTAGGAAGACATTGCCCTCTTTCTGATCTTTAGAGGGGTGGACAGTTACACAGCTGGTCAATTCACTCACCCGATACAAGTGGCTGATTCACTCAACGGAACCAGCACAAAGGCCACTGTCTGATCCCCCTTGTCTTGAGATAAGGTCACCTTTCTTTGCAACAGGTGTGGCCAGTCACTCATCGCCCTTGCCCATCTCCTCTGAGCCTTCTTCCATTATAGGAACTCACTGATCAGGCACGGAGGCCACTGTGATTACTCTGCCCTCCTCACTAGTAACAATATTTCTAAATGAAACGGTTGATAAAAGTAGACATCTGTACTACTGAGCACACCCTGATCCGCTTCCCATCAATATCCCTGAGCTAGTGATGACTCTACAGTCCTTCAGGTCATGGATGTAGCCTGCTGGCACCTGTCACCAGCACTGTATTACTCCCCATAAACTGGCTGGCAAGGCCTAGGAGTTTACCTTCCACCCTGGTTTCAGCAGCTCTAGCTGTGTGTGACTACCTTCACGTAGACTGTCCTTGTTGCTGATGAAAGAGGCCCATCTGATGTGTTACTCACCCAAATGACGGTTGATGTCTAGCTTAGGAAGAGATAAACTGTGCCACTGAAGTGCTGCATTTATTCACTGATTGTAAAGAGGGGTAGACAGGCAGCTTGGCTGTCGGTATCTGCATGTGTCAGTAAATGCCTGTGGTTGGGTGGAATCAATCCCACCTGTCTGGCATGTCCTCAGTGTGATGTCTTCGCAGTGGTCCTTCTGCTCTCTGACATGGAAGATGATTGTCTCTCTCTGCCTGGGAAGGCAGCCATACCACTTGCTTGGGCTAGTTTTCTCAGAGCCATGGACCAGGGATCCACTAACCCCACATCTTCAGCTGCGCAGCACCTGAGGGGGCCTGATGTCCACTGCTCAGTGCTGGGACAGACGCTGCTGACAAACCACAAGCCGGCTATGGCCACCAGGCCCTGCTCGGGGGGTTGCAGGCTTCTTTGGCGTTGTTGGCCCGGTCATCCTGGCCAGACCTTGTCCGTCAGTGGGTGGAGGATTCCTTGTGGGCAGCTGTGGGATGCTGGGAGCAGAAATGCCTGTTCCCTTTGCCGAGAGGCTGGCAGTTACCAGTTGTGGAATAGAAAGAGGCAGCCCGAGGGGAGGCGATGCTGAGACAGTGCTTGGTGGGGAAATGAGGAATCAAGAGTGAAGCCCAGAGACGGCGCATGAGGAGCTGGGAGGAAGAGGTAATCCTGCCGCCTTTCCTCTCCCTCTCCAGTCGCTCCCTGCTCCCGTGGCGGTGACCGGCCCACAGCCCTGCAGCAGAGATTCGCGGAGTGGCAGTGTGTGGTGCCGCAAGGCAAAGGTCAGTAGTGCTGGCAGGGGTGCAGGAGGTCTTTGGGGCCCATTGTCCCATGAATGCTGGGGTCTGCTCTGACAGCAAGTGGCAGCGGGAGCAGACTCCGCAGAGGCAGACTCCAGAGGAGGGAGGTGGGGAGAAAAAGGATTTCCTGCTAACAGCTTAGGGGGGAGCAAGGCCATGTGAGTCATATCCTGGAGGGCAGGGTGCTGTGACCACTGACAAAACAAAAGGGACAGCACGCAGCCACACAGGGAAGGTTAACAATGGAGCAATAATGAAAGTGCAGCTCTAGTCAGAGCAAGAAGCAATATTCCTTGTTCCCTGCCCTGGGGCTAAAGGCCTAAAGGAGACTGTACAAGGCGAAGTCAAACCAGAACACCAAAATAACTTTGTCAAGAGCTGAGGTTCCAAGGATTACCATGGATCCGTGTACACAAAGCCCACTGGTCACACCCCAAAGCAATGGGAAGAAATATCTGTACTACCCTTGTTTTTTCAAGCACTTTCTGTCAGGAAAAGTCATCTAAGGAGAACATGAGCATCGTCCCTGGAGAACAGGGACCTTTGCAGTCACCATCTCTCTTGTTATTCATCTCTGTGGTCCCTCCCTGCACAGAGCGAGGCTGGGCGTGCTGCCCGACGGGCTGGAAACGCTTTCAAAAAAGCTGCTATTATCTGTCGGATGATATGATGGGCTGGGCTGAGAGTGAGCAGAACTGCAGTGGGATGGGCTCCCGCCTGGTGGTGGTCAACAGCGAAGCAGAGCAGGTACGTGCAGGGCTGAGAGAGGGGCACAGCAGCCAGAGACACGGTGCCAGGCCCTGGAGGGGGCTCAGAGCCCCTCGGTGCGCCTGCGGGGGAGGGGGCCTGTCGTTTCTGCACCCCTTCAGCACCGGCTCCCCTCTGCCAGCAGCCCCAGCCCACAGGGACTCCTGCCGCCTCCCTCTGCGCAGTCCTGCGCCTCATGGACGTTGCACTCTCCCTGATTTCCAGGCTTTCCTCTCGAAGGAGCTACAGCTGTCTTCAAGAGGAGAGAATTACTACATCGGTCTGAGGGCACAGGTGGTGGGCCAGTGGCACTGGGTGGACCAGACTCCGTATAATGTGACGGCGGCGTGAGTATACCCGCATGGACAGTGTTTGCTGTCAGCTCCTGGTAGTAGTGCAAGAGAGCAGGGGAGAGGTGAGGGTGTCTGCTGGTGCATGAGAGGGAGGTGAGACAAACCCCTGCGAGAGGACGATGATGGAGCAGGAGTGAGCTGTGTAAGATGCCAGGTTCAGATGACCCTATCCATGCTGGTTAGTGGTTGTTAGTTAACTACCTGTGACGCGGCCATCAGTGGCTGCAGGCACAGAAGCAGCTGCACCTCGCCAGCGGGAAGAACCCTTCAGAGATGACCAGCCTTGCCTGACCTCCATACGACCCCCGCCATGCCTACATACGCGTATATGCACAGGCCAGTGCTGTGATGCTGTGGAAGAGATGGGGCACAGGGAGAGATCACCAGGGCTGTCCTCGCTGCGCCTTCTTCTGGACGACAAGCTTGCCCTGGAGGCAGACATGTGCCTCTGCTGGGTGTGAAGTGCATGATGTGGGCGGTGGTGAGCAGCTCCCCCCACCGGGAGTGAGCAGGGCCCTGCTGTGTTGGCTCTAGGGAGAAGGCAGTTTCCACATGAGACCGGTGCCAGTGGGATATCAGAGCGGGAGGAAGGGCACTGCTTCTGGTGTGAATCTGCACCTGGGATTTTTCTCTCTCGCCTCCAAGCCTTGCCTCCTGCTGTGGCCTTTTTCATCAGAGCTCTACGGGGTATGCTGGGGAGTAACATGTCTGTCTGTCTCTCAGGTTCTGGCGGAAATACGAACCAAGTAATAAGGATGATCAGAAGTGTGTTGTAATCCATCGGATTTCAGGACTATACAGCTGGAATGATGTCAAATGTGAGAGTCATCATCGAATTTGTGAAGCTGAAGCAGTAACTGTGTGATGGAAATGATACCCTCATCCTGAGTAAAACTGAGAGATAAGCAATGTGCTGGGAACAGTGCAGGGTTGTCTTGGGAGAGGTGGGGGACCCCAGGAGCCTGCATCTTCACTGTGCTGGGTGGGAAGATGCGAATGGAAGTGATATTACCCCGTGTCCAGCATCCCCAGTGCATGTATCAGCTCAGGGAATACATGAAGGCTCAGGGTCGTCAAAGCAGGTCCTGGGCTCTTCTGTCCTCTTCTGTCTGGGTGGGTCCAGCAGCCACTGGCTGAAAGAGGTTGAGTTCTCTGGGAGGAAGACACAGGAATGGAAGACAGATGCTCAGAGCTGCACTTTCCTTTGTCTCCTTGAGCAGAGGTGTCTGCTTTTTGTTGAGGCACACAGACAATGTCTTCTAGTTGCACTGGTTTTGCTGAACAGGTCCTGATTTGTTATGCACGAGAAAATACAATATTAGACCAGTGAAAAAGGCTCTGTGCTCTGTGTGTGTGTGTGTCTCTTTCCCTTTCCAACTCTAAGCTGCAGGTGTTTTGTGTAAGCAGGATCAAAACCTGTTGCTGTGCCAGGATGCAGCCGTACGCAACTGCTGCAGTAGAAGTTGCATCCACCCAGTGAGAATAAACTCCTCAGAGACAACCTGGCTACACAGTTCCATTGCACACAGCCAATGCTCTGGAGGGGACTGGCCACAGGAAACCAGCTCTAGGGATATTACGAGTATTTGTTTCCATGGCTGCAAGTCTTGCCCCAGAAGGTAACAGGAGCGTGTGCCAGGAATCTGACCAAGATCAGGTCATGCTTGAGCTAGTATGAGGAGCTGTCCCCAGCAGCAAAATGACTCGGGCCTTCAGTGCCACCTCAAGTAAGAGGTCGTCTTCCCAAGTCAGAGCTGATCCCAGACTCACCTGATGCAGCAGTGTTCCTGGGAGGCCAACGCCTCAGTGGTCCCTGTAAGGGCAACCTGCCCAGGCCAGACCATGCCGCAGAAGAGGCAGGAAGGGGCAGGGCTGCTGCTGCACATGAAATCCCTTCCAAGACGTGCATTGCCTATTTAATCGCCTTCTTGTCCTGCTGCTGCAGACCATATGCCACTATGGATCCCACCCCTTTTCTCCATCCATTCCCACATCCTGGCCCCTGTGCTCCCACTTCTGTTTCCCTCGGGAAACATCCTCTGCCTCAGCTTTCCTGACCAAAGAGTGCTAGCTCCCCACGGGGCACTGTGTGCATCTCCTGGCCGTGCGACTCTGTCCTACCTAGGAAAGTGAACCCTCTCTCTGTGTCCCAAAGCGAGGGGAGAATTTGTACTGGAAGCAAGGTGACCAGGAGATTTGGCTTCCTAAGCCAATCAGTGGGAGTAGTTCTGTGAACGGCAGCGAGTGGCGGCAGGAGCTGCTGAATCCCGTAGCCCAGCAGAAGCAAGGCTGCTGCAGCTCCC